CAGGTCCGATTCCTTGTTAAACGAGCCACTCCCGATCTCGGGTGTCGGCTCAGATCTGCAGGGGCCAGAAGACGACGGGCTCAGCTGGATCAAATTTTTTCCGAATCTCTGGCCTTGTGCGCACGGATTCGCGATCAACGATGGGCTCTGACGCTAGCTCGCTGTCTCCTGGAGTACGGCGCCCGTATGGATTTACCGGTGGATGAGTGGAAGTTATGTCCCCTACACTATACCATTATCTACAATCGTCGTCAGCTAGTTTCCGTCCTGCTGCATGCCCCCAACCCCGGCTTCCGAATCCACCAGAAGGATGTGGGATGCAACACCGCCCTGCACTTAGCCGTTATGACCGCTGAGGACGAGATCGTGGCCGACCTCATCACATTCATTCAGACATATGATCCCACCGCCGGTGTGGACCCAATTGACTCGCTTAGACGGACTCCTCTGATGCTGGCATGGATGCTCTCCCGTTTCACCGTGGCTGAGAGTCTGATCCAAGCAGGAGCCAATCAGGAGAGTGTGGATTGCTACGGCTGGTCAGCCAGACGCTACGAGACGGTGGCTAGGGCAAGAATAGAGCGCCTAGGAGGAACTTATTCTAGATCTACTCGCAAGGTGAGGCATTCGGGAGGTGGGGGGGGATGGGCAGGTTGAATTTTTTTCAGCAAGTTGGCGAAGCGATTTCCCCCGACCCGACTCAGTTTTAAAGTCGGACACATGCGTTCCGTTCTGTTGTGGAACACCGGCCAGGACTCCCTTGGGCGGTAACCCAATGATGAGCAATCAATAACATAGGAGATAGGACACGGTCTGGGGCCAACAGCAACTACTTTTTGCTTAATACGTTCCCAATACTACGCAGCCACCATCGAACGAAGGCAGAAAAGGGGTCAACATTGAAGCTGAACGCTCGTAGTCGACACTGGACCTGGGTCAGATAGAGTGCCGGCTGAAAGTCATGCAAAAGGCCAACATTTGCAGAAGATTGATAATCATTCACAAATCGGTACTAACGCATGTACGAAACCGCTGAAATAATATTGAATGATTTTAAGCGAATTTGTGAATTCGAAAAATATGAAAAACACTTATTTTTTGTTTTGAAAAACCATTTTTTAAGACTTGGTAAGATCCGCAACCGTGAAAAATGGCTATGAATTCGACCAATAAATGTATATAAATCGTAAGGTGAAATCATAACCATACCATTTTCTTCATATCGAAAGAAGTTTTCTTTCGTCAAATTTCTTTATACATATTTCAGGTATTGGATTACAATTAGTTTCAGATCGTCCTTTTAAATTCCAGCAACTTCTCCTTCATCTCTAGTGTTTTCAAGCTTTATTCCATAAAGGTAGGTTCCGTTCGACGTTTATCCCGAAACCTTCAAAATAAGATATTTCTTAAAAGAATTTAACTAAAATATAAATCTTTGAATATTAGTTTCTATGAAGATAGCCATATAGGCCATATATATAAACTACGCAAAACACTAAAACATATTGTCGAGAAAACCGAACGTGCACGAGAGAAGTCTGATATTTTTACGCCTAAGATCAATCAAAACAATCTCTGCAATATGTTACCTCTTTAAAAATGACTTTAATCAGATATTCATCTGACGAATATCTGTGCATGCTACCTTTTACCAAGGTAACGTCAAACAGAAAATGGAGAATTTTGACCATTTTTTTTAAATCTATCTGAAAATAATCGAAACAGTTTTGGCTGGAAATGAAAAAACTCAATTTTCTCTTTATACAGGACTATTTTTCACCATATTAGATTACGTTTTGGCCCCATTCTAAGATTGTAAAAGCAGTAAAGAGTGAGCAAGTATATACCAAAATTTTGCGAAAAGTGTTAATCTTCTGTCTGTTCCGTTTCTAAGTTACGCATGAGCGGAAACCAAATTATGCAAAAGTATCTGTCATATTATATTGAGAAGAGTAGTTAGCGAGCATACGTAGGCTTTCAATAAATTTTCGCCGGGCCATAACATTCGTATGGGAAGGGGTAAAAGGTACAGGGTAAACATGCGGGCAAATAAGTTCACCAGTACAGGCAAATTAGTCATGTGAATAGGAGAGGGGGCTTGGGGGTCGATAATATGCGGCTGGATACGCATTAGATTTATGCAGATTGTTTTTTACCTTCATTTTCACGATAAAATATATGCATTTTTTGGGATGGGATGGCAGATTTAAATAATCAGAACTGACCCAAATGTGCAAAATTCGCGGCTTCGGTGGGCTTCGAACCCATTTCAACAAGGGAAAGCCTGAGTACAGCCAACGCTCTGCCAACTGGGCTACGAGGCTCAACAGGAACCGTAAATTTGGCCATCATTAAGTCGATTTACCCACCCAGCCTACTGCAAGTATGGAATCCACCAACACTGCTACAGTAAGCTGACTGCCCAGGCAGGATGTGGGTTCGAATCCCATCAAAGCCGCAAATTTTTCACAGTTGGGCCAATTGAATATGCATTTTTGTTTACGGGTTGTCGACCGCTGCCTGTCGTAAGGGATACAATGCAAATTTCAGTTTTTTTCAGAAAGTAAATGAGAAAAATGAAGGTCATAGTTGATCGCAGATAACAGATGGCACTTGGTTGTTAAGGTCATTAGCCAACTGAACTCGGATTGGTACAAAATGCGCCAGGTTCTTTCAGTTTATCTGTGCGCGGTTCCCCGGGCGTTTTTAAAAAATGGAGAGAAAGGGGGGTATGCGACCACGTGACCTCATGTGTTGCGTGGCACCGAAGGTGATTAGCGCTCCAGGGTCACTGTAAATAAGTTGTGTTGGAATAAATTTCATTCGTCGGGTTATATGATACATTCGTCCCTATGTATGACTGCAACGTCATGTTCTTAAATTCGGCAGCATTTCCTTCGGCAAAGAATGCTCGTAC